CTTCCTTCCGAGGAGTGGCTGGTGGGTTTGAACCGCCAGCCTTCTGGTTAGCAGTCAAGTGCCTTAGACACTATGCTACCAGAGCTCCTCTAACTGAGGTAATTATAGGTAATAGGGTAGACCTATGTTGCCAACTAGTAATTATATTCTCTAATGAACCATATGATAAGTGTTTTAAATGGAACCTAATTCTTTCTGTATTATCCCTTACTAGTTTATTCAGTACCTTGTACTCATAATATGTGTTGACCACAGCTCTTATTTTTGATTTTCCTGGAATTAATTTTTGACAATATAATTTATGGTCTCTACAAATTAAACCCTGCCAATTTACTGTTTGTCTTTATATTCGGTTTGCATTATTGGCAGAGTTACTGTTGCTCTTTTAAATCTTTCAGTGTTTTCAAGATCTCTCTTGACAGCATTTATCAGGCTTTTTTCTTGTCTCTGTCACCAGTAACTGGTTCAAGTTACTCGATTTCTAAACTTTCAAAAATCAGTAGAATAAGTTTTCTAACAGTTGGTTTCTATCATTGAACTCTGAGGTGTTTCTGAATACCCATGTAGCCATTTCAGGTAACTGTTAGAACAGTCTTTTGCTTGGGGTATGATACCCATTTTCATTTTTAAAACAATCTGATATCAAAGATAGAAAGAAAAAGGGAGGCCTGTAAAGAAAGGTCTTAATCTAATGTGGGTAATCACTGATTTTAATTTGATTCCCTAAAAACTCAAGCTAGTTAATTAGGTCCTTTATATTGGTAAATGTTTGCTATATAAATGAAATACTTTAAAAAGCGCTTTTTTCCAATGAGACAACACAAAAGTTCTTGTTCGAAAAATAAATTAATTGGAAACGTTTCAATAGCAGTCAGTCTAAATCATTTTGTTTGCCATTTTTATTTTTAAAAACATTTTTTATAAAATGAACTGAAATTAAACCAACTTTCTGATATTTGATGTTCAACAAGCACAAACTCAGGAGAGTTTGCTGAATATCACATGTCCCTTTTTGCCAGGGGTAGGTCCTGGAGGCACACAGTTGGCCTGCTGACAATTCTAGCTCAATTTCATTCTTGTATGAAAATTAGTCTGAAAAAAGCAAATTTACATACATCAAGCTAGTATGTCTATTTATGAAATGTTGGACATTATCACCAATCACATTCTGAAATCCAAATTGCCAGTGTTTTACTCCACAAAATTCTTCTTTGCCAAGACAAATAGGAAGAGTGAGAAAAGTCATCCCTACCTCCTGTTAGCATTTGTGAACATTTGCAAACACATTTGTCATTGTCTGCATCCTTTGTGCTAAAATCATTTCCTGGTTGGCTTATGCTGCTTATTTTGCCGGCTGTCCCTGTAAGTCCTTTAAGGTGGATCCTATAAGCATGCAAAGAAAAAAATATGTAATTGGCTTGGATTATTGATTTATTGTAATGGAAAACTTTATAGGAAGTGTCCCTTTCTACAGAATCTTCATTCTGTTCTGGGTAGTGTACAGATACATACACTGAACAAAATATTTGCACTGGTATAAACAGGAACCAACTTATCAAATCCTTAGACAAAGAGGAATGTTTTCATAAAAACATCAGTACATATCACTTGCACAAGCATCAGCAGGGACTATAGAGTTGGATAATTTATTTTCCTGCTGCTTTCAGATAAACAGAAGAGAAAATACAACACAGAATGACCTCTGTGTGAGGGTCCTCTTTTCACGTCTCCAATCATCATCACCTGTTAAAATGATAGTCCTAAAATGACACTGGTAGCATAGTGGCTAAGACACTTGCCTGCTAACCAGACGGCTGGCGGTTCAAATCCACCAGCCACTCCTCGGAAGGAAGGTTGGGCAATCCTACTTCCGTAGTGATACTGCCTCGGAAACCCAAGAAGGGGTCGCTATGAGTCGGGGCCGACTCGACGGCACATAACAACAACAACAACAACAAGATGACTGGATAGCTTCAAACATAATTGTTTTTGGCTTCAGGTGGGAGCAGAAGGGAAGACAGGGCATGGACAATAAGGAATGATCATTGAATTTGATATAGAAGTCTTCAGAACAGTGTCGAAAATAAATCCTATGGCTGCTTTGCCTTATTTCTATATAGTAGTGTAATAAGCCTGTGAAATTTGGAGAAAGGAATAAATGTAATATTAAGTTAGACATTAGATAATTTTGCATATCTATAGAATATTGCAAAAAATATGGCTTGCCTCAAGTGATCTGTGTGGCAAAGATGATATAAGGAAAGAGAGAAAAAAGTATGCTTTGTTTTTAAAATTTCCTTAACTGCTTGAAAGTCTTTGTTTCAAAAAAATCCCATCGGCAGATTGGTATGATACAGATCAGAGCAAGCTTTCATGTGATGGTGTTTGCGTGTGCAGAATGTGACATTGTTATAGTAACATGCAGAGTGTCAGCCTCTTGGAACAGGGAGCATTGAATCTTCATGTCTTGGTGGTATGATTGCCTAAACAGTGTTAAAGTCAGATAAAATGGGGGCATGAATCCTGCAAAACAAAATCCTACAATGTTGGCAGGAGAGTTGTACGTTACATCCAAAAATGAGGCACATCTTTGTAAATCCTGCTACAGTTTGCAGGGGACATCAAGCTCAATTGGCATAAATACTACACAAAACATTGTTCCACATCCTACTTTGGCAAGTAGCAACTGGGACCTTAAAAGCTTGCAAGCAGCCTTCTAGATGCAAAAATGGGTCTCTCCCCTTCCAGAGCAAAGAAGAATGAAGAAAACCAAAGATTCAAGGAAACAATTAGTCCAGCCAACTGGTACACCATGCGATCCTCAGCCTATACGACTATGAGACCAGAAGAACTTGATGGTGGCCGGTTACCACTGTCAACAACTCAGAGGGGGATCTATGTAGAAGGTTCTGGATACAGTGGGAGAACAATGTGCAATAAAACTCAAAATCATTTGAAAAAAAAGGGGAAGGACCAGGTTTGCCGGTCTGCTAGAGCCTGGTGGAACCACTGAAACTATGGCCCCTACCTGCCCTTTGTGTCTGGAATTAAGCCCACTCTTGTGGCTTCCAGCCAAACAAAAGACGGGCATGTGAGGTGAGCATTTACACTAGGTAGAGACACTCCTTGGAGAGAACAATCATGGGAGAAAGAAGGGCTGTGTATGCACAGGGAGACAGCTCAGGGGGCAGGAGCGCATGGAGGGAAGGACACAGGGAAGAGGTAACTATGGGGAGGAAGTGAGAGGGGAGCTATTGCATTGTGGTAAATTGTAGTCAATGTCATGAGACAAAGTGTATGTAAACTGCTGTATGGAAAGTGAATTTGCTCTGTAAACTTTCACCAAATCACAATAAAAAAAAAACGAAAAAAATAAAATTAGCGCTGACCCTAAGTAACTTTCATGTTAATGACTTAGGTTTTTCTTTAAAAAAAATTTTTGTTGTGTTTTAGTTCAGAGTTTACAGAGCAAAACAGCTTTCCATTCAACAATTCACACATACTTTGTTTCATGTCATTGGTTGCAGTCCCCTCAATGTAACATCACTCCTCCCGCTTCCTCCCTATGTTTCTAGTTTCTATTCCTCCTTCTCACCTAGCCCTTCCTGCCTTCTGAACTTTGACCTTGGGCAAATGTTGAATAACTTAGATTTTAAAATATAATAATAGTAAATTATATATAGTAACATCATAATGCTTTGACTGAATTTCTTAATTACCCTACATGTTTCAAGAATGAGGCTGGCATCTAGCCAGTCTCTAAGTACCTGCAGTAAAATATTAATACGGTATGTTCTAATCATCTTTGATATTTTGAACACTTTCTTTCTAACTTCTTCTCATTAATCATAGATAGGATTGAGATTAACTATTTTCTTTGTGTTTCCTCCTTTTAACTCTCCTGTTCCTTTTGAATGATTTTAGAACTCATGGAACTCATTAAATCTTCCCAAAGGCAAGTGAAATAAAAGAGAATACTATTATGTATTACCCTCTGTTGGGGAAGTTGTATAATTTTAGGTCCCTTTATTCTATGAACCAATGTTTTAAGGTGCTTTTCAAAAATATCTGATTGTTAAAAATAACGGCATTCTTAAAATTACTTTAAATTAGTATCAGTTGCTCTTATGTAACAGTGGAGTGAAAGAAGAGATAATGAGGCATTTAATAATCAAATCTCATGTTTGTATATAATTACCAGAATATTTGTGAAAAGTGACCCACCTTAAGATTTAAATGTACAGATACTTCTCAATTTTATTAAAAAGAATTATTGATGTATCTGTTTCTCACAACATGCATTTTTCAGTTTTCCAACATTTAGGGGATAATTTAAAAATATATACTTAGCTTCTACATACAATTGGCATTCTGAAACAGTTTAGTTACTAAAAGTTTAGTCACGTGAAAATTCTTTTATTGTATGTATTAACAGTATTTTATTGAGATAAAAATTTTAGCTGTCATATTTCTATTTTATATTGCTAAGTAAATCAAAGTAAGTTTTAAAACTTTTTTTAATGGCTTATCCAAAAGATCTACTGTAAATATCCATTAAAAGTCATCACAGTTTAAAATATTTTTATAATGTCAGTGTATAAGGGCAATGACTCATTTTGCTGAATCTTCATATACAAACAATTCTAATCCTTTGTTTTTTCCTTTCTTTACTTTTTTTTAATTCCACTTTTGTTGACTGCTGTTGCCAGTTGAAAAAATATTTAACTTGGAGATAAAACAATGACAGACCACTTGTATCTCAATATTCATTGAAATTTTGCTCTCTTTGGAGTAAACTTGGAACTACAGTGAGGTACAAACACCTGTCTTTTCAATCATCTCAATTATTGCCTCTCAAAGAAAGCCCTGTAATTTCTAGAATGAGAATTAATGGAGCATGTTTCACTGATTTTTTTTAAGTCGTATCAGTGCTTGTTGTAAATTATCTCTTTTGAATCATTTCTCTGTTAATAATCTGCTTATAAAGTAGAACATGTTGTTGTTGTTGTTGTTATGTGCCATCGAGTCGGACCCGACTAATAGTGACCACTCCTTGGGTTTCCAAGGCAGTATCACTACGGAAGTAGATTGCCCAACCTTCCTTCCAAGGAGTGGCTGGTGGGTTTGAACCGCCAGCCTTCTGGTTAACAGTCAGAACATACAGACACTATAGTTTTCAGGTAGCCATTCTGGCATTTTTACTTTCAGGCAGTTTTTCTTTGCTGTTCATTGTTACCCTCTCCTAGGAAGCCAATTTAAGGAGCTGAAAGTAATGTTTATTTTCTGAACTACGCATATTTTGGAATTTCTACTAAGCAGAAGGTCTGAGTTGATCATTAATGAGATTTAGATGATATTTTAGGCCAAATGATTAGTTTTCTGTGATATTCCTATTGAATTTCATTCTGTTTATTTCTGATCTTACCCACAACTGCCCAGGGGGGAAAAAAATTAAAAATGATTGCCAGTGAATCATTTCTCACTCACAGTGACCCCCATTGTGTTTCCAAGGCTGTGAATCTTTATGGAAGTAGATTGCCCATATTCCTTCCACGGAGCTTCTGGTGGGTTTGAACACTGGTCTGGTTAGCAGCCAAATGCCTTATTCACTATGCCACCAGAACTCATTTAGAGTGGGTATTTAATAATGTATGCTCTATGATCAGCAAACACTACCAGTCTGTGCTTTGAAACTGTTAGTGATTTATCCATTCTGTCACATCTTCTCAGAACAATTCTTTGGTACCAACTGATACATAATTTCACTTCTCCATTTACCTTTACTTCCACTATTGTATATGCATATCTGAGTAGCTCTGTGGACTTTGTATTGTAGTATGTATGTATTTGGCTTTAACATACTTATCTTATGCAGTAGACTGTGCTGGTTTTTCAATTTCTTTGCTTTTCCCTGCCACTATTCTAATGGTGTTACAGAGCCAGAAAGTAAATTCCTACCTAAGATTGCCCATGCTATTCTTAAAACATTCAAGGTTATTACTTACCAATGGGTGGGAGCAAGGCAAATACTAAAAGTGCTATGAATTTGGTGTACTTTCCGTAGCAGAGTAGAACATGACTGACTAAACATCTTATCGAATTCTGCCATTTTAAAATTTAGTGACTAATTCTGACTTTGGAATTGAAACCAACCTATACATTTACACTGATAAAAGATAAATTCAGCTTTTACAATTGTAAAGGAAGTGAAAGAATATAGTCCCAGATAAACATCTGTAATGATACTGACATGACTGACATATGATAACAGGGAAATGTAACATTGATTTATTCTAAAAATAGTATTGAATGCCCAGGCAGGGTTCCTCTAGGCTTTGAGAATATAACATCAAACAAAACAGATAAAAGCTTGTCCTCATAAAGTTTTTTTCTAGTAATATTATAACAAAAGTTGGGCTTTTAAAAGCTAGAGAAAGTTACCTAAAGACAGTAATAATTCAAAGAAACTTTCTTTTTTTCATGTAAGGTATTCTGTAAGTAATGTAAATCCTGGTTCATTAATATGGTTTTCACTTTCTGAAATAATGACTGTCAGATCCTTTATTTTCAATTAAATATTATTTACTCACCTATAATTGAGATCTTCACTTGAGAGATAGAAATGTTCATATGCTGAGTATGCCTCGTTCCCTTCCCAGTCTTTAAAGTATATTTTCAGCCTATAGTTTTGCTGATTAGTCAGTTGGGAAACAAACTCATTTCCTAGCCAGTACTCTCTTGAAGGGTTACCAAATCCCTGAAATCCAAGTTGTAAGATTCAGTTACTTAATTTATTCTTTCTTTAAGTATTTTAAATCAACAGTCTATCAAGTGAGATGGAATGTCTGTCAAATTTGCAGCAGAAATAACTTCTCATAATGTAAAAGTTTGGATTCTTTTGTATAGGAAAACAGATAAAAACAGTCAGTTTTAAGAAAGTAAGCTGTTATTAGAAGAAAATTGCTATTAGAATAATAGAATGACCTGGGGATCCACCACATAAGTAAAATAGCTAAATTTATAGATGTGGTAAGCATTTTGAAACAGTTGCCTTACCAACAATTGCTGAACCTGCCTTTTAAAAAAAGCAGAGCTTGCATGTCTTTGTTTTAATATATAGTTTTATATTACACAGACATGATAGCTCTTTAATAAGAAATGGAAACACAAATGTCAATGAATCCTTTAAGAAAAAAATTATATTGAAAGTTATTGGTTACTTAAGGTTGTGCAGATTTTGAAAATTAGTTTTCACAAAGAAAATTAAGTATTTTCAGATGACTTAAGGCATATCCATACCACTTTATATTCTTTCCAAGTCCTCTGAAAATTAACACTGCCATCTTCCCGTCGCTGAATAACTGTCCATCCACCACCACTTGTTTCCATGTCACAGTAAGCCTGCCATTAGGAAGTACATAATTACTTTATTGTATGTGAAACATCAAGGACTTAAGTCTTTGTTTTAAATATCAGAAAAAAATATGCATCTAGATACCTATAATAAGATTTGTGCTTATAGGATTTTCTGGAATAAGGAATGGGGGAAAATCTTTGTAGTTTTCTAAGAAACAGAAAGTTTTGAATAAATTGAAAACCGTGAATTTAAAATGATAGTTAAATAAATAACATAGTATATAATATGATGTGTTGATGAAAATAGGACTTTCTTATATACTTCTTGGCATCATCTGTTCCAGGGTAAGACCCACTCCAATAGTTGACCCAAAGGTTACTGTTTCCTAGAGATTCCTTGAGAATGGTACATCTCGACACAGTGTTCTTATTCATTTCCACGGAGTCAATTCTGATTCATGGTAACCCATGTGTGCAGAGCAGAACTGCTCCACAGGGCTTTCAAGGCTGTGACCTTTCAGAAGCAAATCACCAGGCCTACCTACTGAAGCACCTCTGGGTGGTTTGAGCCACCAACATTTTGGCTAGTAGTTGAGCACTTAACTGTTTGCCCCACCTAGTACCATCTTGATGTTGTTGTTGTTGTTGTTGTTGTTGTTGTATGCCGTCGAGTCAGCCCCGACTCATAGCGACCCCTCCTTGGGTTTCCGAGGCAGTTATCACTATGGAAGTAGGATTGCCCAACCTTCCTTCCGAGGAGTGGCTGGTGGGTTTGAACCGCCAGCCTTCTGGTTAGCAGTCAAGTGCCTTAGGCACTATGCTACCAGAGCTCCTCCATCTTGATGTATTAACCCTTAACTACACATCTCCATCCTATAGGAAACATCCTCACAAGCTTGAAAACCTTTCACAAGAGAAGTATCTATCAAGCTCTCTCGAGATATATATAAGAGATATTCTTTCACTGTAGGGTTACTAAGACTGCTGTTATATTCTCATGTTTTGGAGCTTTTGGGGATTCCTCTATGTGGAATGAAAATCAAATTTATCAGTTCATGGCTTAATGTAGGGAACTTGAGGTTCCACACCAAGTATTATATGTACCTGGCAGCTCTACTGCCAGATCATGAATTCAAGCTTCTTTCCCTTTGCTAACTGCCCATGGTATTTCTCTTCCCAACTCTTTTTATTTCTGCTTTTAAACTGCTTCAGTGGGTTTAAACTTTGTTCAGAACACAGAATTCTTTTTTTGGGCTAGATCATGCATGCTCAATTTCAACTCTGCTGGAGTTTTATTATGAAATTAAAAACCCCTGAAAATAAGATTACCTAAATAGTTTTAAATAATGAGATTATAGTAGAACGAGAAAGCATTCCAGAAAGTAAGATAATTTCCCTACAGCATTCAAGGTACTAAATATTAAAGTTCAGGTTCAAACCTAATTAAAAATATTTTTCCTTTATCTTTTTGTTTTAATGGTATTGATTTTGAATTTTCCATAGTCTTTTGAGTATAATGGAGATAATTTTGGCAGTGTAAATTTAAATGTCACTTATTTTGTATTTACTAGTTAGAACCCTAAAGAATTAATTTGAAAGAGAACTAAGAGAGCACCTAATCCTATTCTTTTATTTTGCATATGAGGAAAGAGGAACCCAAAGAAGTTAAGTTAATTGCCTGATGTCTCATTGCTAATAAAATTAGAGAACTGGTCTCCAGAAGACTTCTCTATAACACTATTCCCAGACTCTCTCCATGAAATCACTTTGCCCATATATTGTTTTTCCCAATGATACGTATGTTTGGAAAGATATGTTTATTAAATAATAAAATTTTATCCTTTTTTATTGTAAGTTAATCAGATATATAAAATTGATTGGTTTCAGGTACCCCTTATTATACTTTGAATTGATATTATTGTTCTTCTTATCTTTGCCATCAATGCTACACTCCACTCTATTCAAAGCACTATACTAGGTACTTTCCATATATTATCTATAATCTCACAGCAACTGTGCTGTCATACTATAATTCTACAGTGTTGAAAGAAGAAGAGATTTAGTAAGATTAGATTGATTTGATCAGTCACATAGTTATTAAATGGTGTATAGGATTTGAACAATCTAATTCCAAACTGTATGATGTTTTCTATTACACCATGCTGCCAAAAGCAAAGAAACTTGACATTTTCGTTAATAGGGCAAAAGTCCCTCAGCACAACTCCAAGTTGGAAATCAGTTCTTAAATAATCCTTCCTCTTATTTGCCTGTGGCCCACAAAATGGTCAGTGCTCCTCACTTCTATCGGTATGTCTTTTTTAGAAAATCTATTTACTAAGCTAGATGAATAAACTACATTGCTTTGGATAGGATTCATGAGTATACATAGAAGTTAGTTCTTCTGTAGCCTAAACTGGTATACTGGTATATTGAAAGAATTGATGTTTTTCAGTGAATGTATCCTTGTTTCTTAGGGTCCCCTGGTGGCATAAATGGTTTGGACGCAGCATAGTGCCTAAGGCTCTTGACTGCTAACCAGAAGGCTGGCGGTTCAAACCCACCAGCCACTCTTTGGAAGGAAGATGGGGCAATCTACTTCTGTAGTGATATGCCTCGGAAACCCAAGGAGGGGTCGCTATGAGTCAAGTCCAACGTGACGGCATATAACAACAACAACAACAACAACAACAACCAACCCAAAGGGTGGTGGTTAAAATCCACCTAGCAGTACCATAAAGGCCCGGTGATCTACTTCTATAAGATTACAGACAACGAGAAGCATATGGAGTACAGTTCTACTCTGACATACATGAGGTCGCTGTGAGTTGATCGACTTGATGCCAACATGATTATCCTTGTCCGAGGGATATTTAAGTCTTCAGTGCCAAAATCATTGTTGCAAAAGTTACTAATACATAGTTTATCTTACTATAGAAGGCAGAGTCAAGACTCAAGTGGCTGAGAGTTTTGCTTTATTCCTGCTAGTGCTTAAATAATCTGAACCATCCCTATTTTCTTTGACTGCATTAGTGACAGTGGTAAGGTTATTAGAATAGTTTTTTAATACTTTGTCCAGATTTTTAAAAGAGAACAGAGGATTGGTAAAAACTAAATAACATGGTTAACTGAATCATAAAACTTTCAGAGAAAGATAGCTTTCAAGTAAGTTAACCACATAGCCAAAAGGTATTGAATGAAATGATGAAATAGATTATATCATGATCTGAAAAGCAGAAGTCTTCAGATAATGCCAGAGACATCAAGCGCTCCAATTACAACAAACCTAAGGGCAGTTAATACTTTTGATTAGCACACTGTTTCATGGTTCAAGGACCTCACATCTTGCTATAAAGCTTGAAGTTTTTCAACAAATAATGCTTGATTTAAATGTTATGCTTCAAATCTGAGGCCATGGTTAAATGATTGATTACACAGCAAACAAATAGATAAAAATGAGGAGTCAGTTATTCTGTTAAATTAAGGGGAGGCACAATTATGTCTCTAACCAGCAAAAGCACACTTCAATGCTTGTAATAAATGCCAACTTAAGTGTCTGTTTTGGACAAAAACTTAATGAATTTTTAAAAATAAAGTTGAAATATTTAGGCCTTTGGGAAAAGATCTGCCAAAAGATCTATAGCGCATTCTTTTCTTGAATTAGAAGAAACAGGACAAAATTAAGAGTGATTTGCCATGACGAGCAATTGTCTGCATTTGAGAGCAGTCAGAATAATAATAACCACAGTTTATGGGACGCATACTAAGTTCCAAGTCCTATACCTGGTGCTGTATATCCATTCACAGCCACAAAATAGCTCTTGAAGACTGGACACATTATGGTCATGTTGTTGTTAGGTGCCATTGAGTTGGCTCTGACTTATAACAACCCTTTGTACAATAGAATGAAATACTGCCCGGTCCTGTACCAGCCTCACAATCACTGCTAATTTTTATTTCCCAATATGTAACATGGTTGTATTACATATTAGGAAATCTATGGCTTAGAAAAATTGAATGTCTTGCTCAGAATCACAGTTTGGCAGAGGTGGAATTTAAACCCAAGCCCATCTGACTTTCCTTCCTTAGATCAGATTATGAATTACAGCATTCAAAATCTGGAAGGGAATTTAAGGTAATTTAATCTAGACCATTTATTTTAGAAATGAAAGAATTGAGGTTTTGAAATATTATTGTTCCCTGCTGTGTAAATAAGTTCTTTTTACTGCAAATATTTAAAAGGAATATAAATCCTAATGTGTCAAACCATGACCGAAGACTCATATAATCCCAGTGTGCTATATTTTCACCTTCCTACAGAACATTTCAATTAAGCCTAAGCCATCGGGTTGATGATATATTGTACTGGGATGATTGCTTGCAGAAAGATTTGTATACAACTGTGTAACACTGTCTGTGGTTAGTGATGCTCCTTTTGGCTTTGCCTTGATAGCATTCCCATTTTACTGTGTCCTCCATCTCTTCCTCTTGTCACTATTGTTCCCAATGTTATTACACCAAGAAGATACAAACATCCAGTGACAGATGATAATATAATTTACAAAGAATTTTCATGAAAAATACATCACAAAGGGAATTGAAAATTGTAGTCTAGAGTGGTTTGATTGCTTTTTCATCTGTAACAGACTGTTTTTTGTTGTGGTTTTTCCATCCCCAAACTTAACTGCTTCTGGAGCACTGGGGACATAGTTTGATTTTGTGTTGAATTAAAGAAACATGAATGCATTAGGAAGATATCTTTGGAATGTATTATCTTGAGTACTACAATATTTAAGCCCTTAATTGTGTTTTTAAAATGTTTTTCTTTAATATCATGTTAAATACTGAAGATAACACTGAGTCTAAAAACATAGTACTCTAAAATTTCCTTTTTAATCAAGTGCCCAGTACCTTTTCTGTGGGTTTTTGCTTTATAAAGATGCAAGTGTGTTTGTTGTTGTTGTTAAGTGCCGTCGAGTCATTTCCAACTCATAGAGACCCCATGCACAGCAGAACAAAACACTGCCCGATCCCGCGCCAGCCCCA